AAGAACTACCCAGTGCAAAGTCCCCATGGTGCTAAGGCTGAGGAAACAGGGCCAACTGCCACCTCTGCCCCGACTGTGCCATCCATGTTTCTATCAGTGTCCTCTGTGATCTAGAAAACTTCGACATGATCTGATCCATGTCCCTGGTGCTGGGCATGGAGAACCAAGAGGGCTTGCAATGATGGCCTGTGACAGTGTGAGGGTGTGAGAGATTGTGCAACAGCAACTGTGTGGGAAGTTCGAGATATCTGTACATGACCTGGCTTGACTCAGCTCTGAGTTCAGAGCACAGTGGGCCAGTAGTGTGACAAGTTTGAGAAAGGGCCCAGAGGCAGAGGCAGATGCAGATGCAGAGGCAGGGGGTCTGTGAGTTCAAGGCCTGCCTGGTGGGGAAGGAGGGAAGGAGGGAAGAAAGCAGGGAGAATGTTTGGACACCACCCTTTCTCAGTGCCTCTCTCTCACAGAGGTTGAGCACATAGCAGAACCAGTCTCTCTAGATTCAAACTCCAGCTCTACTCTGGGCTAGCCGTGTATATCCTTGGTGTCGTTTCTTCACTTAGAAAATGGGGTTACCGTGCCTACTTGATGAGGTTACAATGAGAACCACACTTCCTTTGCACACCAGGATCCTCCCTTGTTAAACAAGAAGTGCTGAGCTGACATTAGGTCCCTCCCAACAGCCTCTCTGGGTTCCATGGGTGCCTCCTTCTCAGATGTGCTGGGTCTTAGCCCTCATCAAATGGAGAGGCACTGTGTAGGTCAGCCCATGGTACCATTCAGGGCGTCACTGTGCAGTCACTGGCTTCCCCTGTGGCCAGGCTCACCTTTTCCACCTCATCTTAGAGACTGGCCTGGAGCCCAACCCCTTCAGTCTCTGGGTGCCTTTTCCCAGCCTTGGTTTCCTCATCCACGAAAAGGAAGCTAGTCTTACCTGCCAGGCTTACAAGGTGTGGGGAGAGGAGGTAATTTGAGGGCAAGTGCTTTATAAACATTTAAGATAATATCATGATTAATTACCACTTCTGGGTAGAAGCCTTTCAGGTCTGCTTAATGGCAAAGAACAGACTCCTGGCAATGAGTGGAGGAATGTCTACTCACTGTGGGCAAAGCTTCAAGAGCAAGGCCACCCAGCCTCGATCCCTAAGAGAAGTCCTTGGAACAGACCTGGAAGCTGGAGTTCCCAGCGCAGAAGGACAGATGCGCATCAGGGGACCAAGTCCTTGCACACTTTTTGCCCGGGCATCTGGCCCTCCTTGCTGTAGGCCCAACCTCCCCTTTCCAGGTATGCGTGCCAAATCTTTCATAAAGTGCCTCTGCTGCCGACCGCTCCAACCTCTCCTTTCCTTTTGAAATCTGTGGGTTCCACCAGCTGGGGAACATAAATATTTGTAAGGGAAACTGCATCTGTGCTGACTGTATGCAGACCGTTTTGTCATTAATCCCTAAACAATACAGCAAATACTGACAACAACATTTACGTGGTCTCAGATGCAGGTAATCCAGGATGAGTGAGTGAGAGGAGTGATGTACACAGATTTGGGCAGTACTGTGCTATTCCATGTGGGGTCCTGGACAAGATTTCAGTATACATGGGGCATAGGAGGGTCCCAGGAACCTACCCCTCACAGATCCCCACACCTTCCTTTTCTTAAGAGGTTCCCCCCACCCCTCTAGATGGGATGGCTTTAGAAGCCAGAATGTGTTCTGTGGTGTCCTAGCCACATCTCCTTGCTACAGAGTGCAGGGTCTGGCAGAGTGGATTCTGGGTAAGTCCTTGTTGAATGCCAGTGCTGGCAGAATCACTGTGCCTTCATTGGGCAATGGCATCAATTTTATCCAAGCATGGTGACTTCTCTGTGTGCTACATGCTGGCTGAGCAACACTTTTGTGTCCTACTCTTGCATACTTCGATCCTCTCTTCACATGATAAATAACCTACTGGGAAAAGCTCCAGCCGGCCAAGCTAGTGAGAAGTGTCTGCAAAGTGCAGAAATGGACAGACTAGCACCACTGTGTTTGGCTCAGAATGTCACTCCCCCATGGCTGTTCTCAAGTCTGGCTCCTGAGGTGACCTTTGGACAACAGGTGTCCCTGGCTGCTCTCATGAATGCAGTTTACTGGCTGGGCCCTCTGTGTGGCTTACCTGTCCTCTGACACCATCAACACCTCCATCCTAGCACTGGCCTTCCACTGTTTCTTACTATCTAGGAAACCTCCAAGGCAGACAAACTCATTCACATCTTCAGAAGTATCTTGCCACTCCTTGCTAAGAGCAGTCTCCCAGGTTCCTACTCCACACAGTTGCCTCCTACAGGCTCCCTGCACTTACCTCCTTAGTGTTCCCCTCTCCCCCTCTACTGATGCCTTACTTTATGTTTATAAAGGAAATCTGGAATAAAGATAAAAAATCCCAATACCAGGACCAACCTTCTGTAAGACTTCCAGCCACTCTGACCTTTCCTCTCTTCTCTCTTCTCCAGGTCTCCTCAAGTCTCTTGAGCCTCCTGCCCCCACTTCTCAATCTCTGCTGGGAGTCTAGGTGTGCATCACCATGCCCTGCATGCCCATCTGGCTTTAGGTGCCATGCCCTCTCCCTCTAGGGTCCTCTCCATCTGTCACTGGGAATATCCTGAAGAGCTAAACCTTTGCCCTCTTTACTTCACAGACCCTCCCTATGCCCATCTGGATAGCAGGGACCATCGTTCAATCACTCTCCAGCCTTGTGTCCAAGAAGCCAACTCAGATGCATACACACCTCTGCACGTCTTCAAGGGTGGACAGCAAACCAATTCCTGCCACCTCATGCCTACTGACAAACAGATTCCTGCCACCTACAACTACTGACAAACCAATTCCCGACACCTCGAACCTACTAGCTCCTCCTCAAACCAGAAATGTAAAAGCCAGTTAGTTTTGAACCCCTCTCTCCCTCATGTCAGCATACTGAACTGATTTTGACTAAATCCTGTTTCTCTCTAGTTCCAAGATTAAAAAAAAAAACACTTATTTGTGTGGGGGAGGATACATGTGAACTCTGACATGTATGTGGCAATCAGAGGACAACTTATAGGAATCTATTCTTGTCTTCTACCATTTGAGTCCTGGGGACTGAAATCGGGTTGTCAGGCTTGGTGGCATGAACCTTTCACACTGAGCCATCTCTCCAGCACCCAGCATTTATTCTAATGCCACTAACCCATGAAGTGTCTCTGACCCCAGCTCACTCTTGTATCCATCCCATCACTCTAGATGCCTGAATATTTCCAAAGATGCAGATCTGATCAGGCCTGTCCTCCATGGGCTTGAAGGTCCTCATGACAACCTCCATCTGTCCACCTGGCTGTACCATGCCAAGCTGGAGGCTAGCTATGTTGCAGGTCCAATTTACTCATGCAAGGACTACAGTGGTCCAGTTCTGGCTTGCTGTGAATATCCAACTTCTCTTCTCCCCCAGCCCACCTTCCTGACATACCAGTCTATATCCATCCTTCAGAGGATGTAGCTCTCTGGGCATCCATCTTACTGTCTCCCCTGCTTTCTCCACCCTATCTGTGTCAGGAAAAACCCCTCCTCTATCCTGCCTTCAGAGCCCTAATTACGTCACTAACTCACTGTGACCACAGTTAAGACATTGCTTAATGTAGTACTTCTCATCTTCGGCTACCCATCAGAAACAATTGAGGAACTTCCTCAGCATTCCAGACCAATTACTTCATAATCTGGGGGTGTCGAGGGAACCCCAATGTGCAATAAACTTCCCTGCTTCCTTGTCTCACAGGCCTTCTTCCATCTGTACAGATTCCCAGAAAGAGCCCACTCCAAAGAATACACTTTGGTGGGAGCAGTTCTGAGCCCGTATTAAAAAGGGGGGTTGGCTTTGTTTTAAGCATGGGCTCACAGTCACCATGTCAGATCCTGGAAAAATCCCATCAGTGTTGCTGCAGCTCAGTATGACTCAGCAGCCAAGCTTCTTAGTGACCTGCTCCCTAGCATCAGGCGTGGCCCCTATAGCCAAGCTCCGCCCACTTGGAAGAAGCCCAGCTCTAATTCCACACAGTCTGGTGTCCCAGCTGGGCCCCGGGTCTTGGGAGCCGCTCACACTGTCTAGCCTCATCAGGCCGGCTAGTTAGCATGAGCCTGGCAGGAGGACTGTCTACTTCCATTTCACGATCCCTGAGAAAGTAGGAACTGTTGTTAAATGACAAGAGAGTGTGGGTTAGGAAGCTAGCCTGAGGCTCTGAAAACAAAGAGCTTGGCCTCAGATGCCACCATTCACTAGCATATGACCTTGTGCCCATAGGTCATTTAATCAGCCCGGGCCTCATTTTCCGGGTCTATAAAATAGAAATCACCACCCAACCTTATAAACACTTGTGAACTGCCCGTTGTAGAGGAGGGACTGTGACAATCTCGGTTTCTGTTCCTAACCCCCTTTCCTCCTCTCCTCCCAGAACAAGTAGGTGACTGCCAGAGTCCTTTCCAGTCTAGACACCTAGAGAGCACATGGGGACAGATTTGGGATGTGCAATGGGGAGAAGGAAGCCAGGTCTCTAGTTCCTGCAGTGCCTCAGGGCAAGGTGCCATGTTTGCTTAAACTGACATGGAACCTCCAGGGAGAGGAAGCAGTTTCAATCTGGAACTGGACTGTGCTATATGTGGATGGGGTGTGAGAACATAAAGACTGCACGCAGGGCGGCTCTGGGCACTACCTCTGCTTGGCTACCTCAGTAGCACTGGGGGACATTCCTACACTCTGACCATTTTCTCCACCACCTGCCTGCCCGCCCTGCAGCAAGTGTGGAGTCCTCAGGAGCCCCACTATACTGATTGTTGTAAATATCTGTGCTGGCTGGGAAACTAGTCAAGATGGCTTACCAAGATCCCAGCATCCTGTGGCCCTGCGATTCTAGGATTTCAGCTGATGTCAATGATAGACGCCCAGGAGGTACCATGAGTATATGGATGTGGGGGATGTATGGATGGGATGGCATAGCACTTACCTTCTGGGGGGCATTGATGACGCCAGTGTTATAGCCAAACTGCAGGGATCCGAGCACTGCCCCTCCCACGGCCAGCATGAGGCGGCCAGTCACCTTCTGCAGAGGAAGAAATCACAGGGTTACAGGCATGTCTGGGCCCAGAGTATTACAGAGCAAAGCCAATGCTGGCAGGGTCTCGTGTTCAGATGCCTTGCCTGGCTCCTGGCAACACACCTATCCTTCTCCCAGGAAACTTGGCTACTTCCTGGTCTCAGGTGCCAAACCTGCCCAGCTGACTTCTAGACTTTTCTCCGAGGATAGAGGAAACAGGGTCTTCTCTAAGCAGTTTGAGAGGCCTTGACTTTTCAAGGTCTTATTCCCCAGGTAGAGTGATGCCTACACTTCAGGTGGCTCCAGACTCTGGGAGGACGAGGAACCAACTTTCCCTCTTATGCCAGGGAGGCCGAACTAAATGAAAGGAACAGTACAAATAGGGAAGAATGGCTCTGAATTTGAAGCCAAAAGCAATGGCCTGAGTCTAGCCCTTGGGAACTCCCAGCAGGCTGGGTCTCTCTGCCCCACTGTGTCCCTACCTTCTATATGCCTATCTGCAAAATGGAACAATCACATTGTTCAGCAATGGAGAGACATGACCCTGACCTTCTGGGCCCTTCCCTCCTACCCCTCCCGGGGCAGGGGAAATAAAATCTCAGAGCTAGGAAGCAAAGTTCCAATCTACTCAGAGGTCTTCAGCAGCATCAGGATTGGAACTCAGGGCCCTGAAGACATGGGAGTCAGTGCTCCTCACACCAACATCCCCCACCCCAAACCATGAGGCTCAGGGCTACTTGTGTCTGGATGAAATACCAGCCAGAAATATGATTCAAGTAGTACATGACCCAAGGTGACTAAGTGCTGAATTCTAAGAGGCAAAGGGTTGTAGGCAGCAGGTAGGGAAGAGGCCAGCAGGTGAAAGGGCCTGCTTACACAGAGGGGAAAGGCCAGGGAGGTGTCCACCTGGATAGACAAAAGGAAGGGACTCTTTCCAGCTTTTTAAATGAGGAAGCCAAGAAATGTGACGTGAGGCAGGCCCTTAACTGGCTGTGGGAAACAAGCTGGGGAAACATGCCAAATTTAAAAACAAAACAAAACAAAACCAGAAAAATAGACAGGCACTGCAGACATAGCGCACCTGCACCCTGCCGGGCTAGGCACTGCAGGGCCAGGAGCGAAGCCTGGGATTCTGAGTCATGTGAGGGCTTTGGCTTGTGTGGGTCTCTGGGTCTCTTTCCCAATAGTACCCAGAAGCCGTACTGACTTCTAGACTGTTAGGTCGAGCTGGGTGTAGAGCTGTTAAGCAGACATGTTCCTAGGTCTTCTTGTTTTCCAGAAGCCCACAGGACAAGGATTGCCAAAGCGACAGTGGTCACATTAGAGGCTGAGAAAGAGGAAGGTCTGTGTCTGCCCCAGTGTGCAGCACAGAATGTCGAAGCCTGACTTCTAATGGCCTGTCCGCCTGTTTCTCCTTGGTTGACCTTGTAAACCCATCCTTTACGGCGGTCCCTCCAATTCCCAACCTCCATGGACTAAATCGAAAGGCATAGTCCCTCAAAGCTCTTGCTCCCAGGTCTGTACGGACTCTCCAAGACCCATGGCTGCTGGTTGAGTGGGCAGTGAGCACATGACAAGCTTCTGGTGAGCTATAGTCAAGCCAAGAGTCATCAGGTGACCATTGGGACTTAAGAGGCTGTGGTAAACATTAGTGGCAGGGCTCAATGGTGACAGCTGGGCTGCCTGATGAGAGACATGCTCAGGGGTTGTTCTCAGGTGTGGTACTTAAGGTATGCAGGTATTCATTTTTCTAGTACACACTAGAACAGAAATGAAATTAGAACACACCTGTAATTTAGTAATCTGTGGCACAGCAATATAATGCTATAATATTAAAGAATATCAGATGTATTGATTTGGGACACTCCAAATTACAATGACAAGTATAAAAGCCATCTCAGCAGCATTCATATTGAATGTCACCTTTGATATGAAAAAAAAATTGGAGGGAGGAATATGAATAACCACTTTTAAATGCAAGTATATAAAGGATAATGAAGGTTGAGTACGGTAGTCCACACCTTTAATCCAGCACTTGGGAAGCAGCATTCAAAGTTGCTTGGTCTAGATAATAATGAACACTGGGGTCCAAGGTAGCTGGCTAGAGGCAAGGTAAAATTGATTCTTCATTTTAGACCCTTGTGCAGATTCTTGAATTCTACTCACCTACAATAAATTTTATAAGCCCAAGATTTCACATTACTTATAACAAAGTATTTTTATTACTTAATAAAAATAGTAGGAGAAGGGCTGGAGAGTTGGCTCAGAGGTTAATAGCACTGGCTGCTATTCCAGAGGTCCTGAGTTCAATTCCCAGCAACCACATGGGGGCTCACAACCATCTATAATGAGATCTGGTGCCCTCTTCTGGGGTGCAGGCTGAACACTGTATACATAAGTAAATAAATTTAAAAAAAAATAGTAGGAGAAAAATAATATAGATTTGGCAGAAATTATGAAGGTAGAACATGAGAGAGGCTGCTGCAATAGAGACTAGGTGAGGTGGGTACTATAGCAGACCCTGTTTTATATTAAGTCTGGCTCTGATGCCAGCGATGCTTATGCATGTCTTCCTTAAGGCCCTACTCAACAGGTTGGGGGAGGGGTTGCTGCTGGGAAACAAAGACAAACCCTTCTCTAAGGGGCTTTGCCACTGGCAGGTCAAGGTCTAACTCCATTGTAGAAGACCTGCCTACCAAGCATGGGGTTATATCTACCTAGCCAGGCTGTTTTATTAGAACTTAACTAAAACACGCAGTGACCAGATCCAGTTGCCATGTGCAAGAACTGGGGCTCAGGATCCAGTAGGCCCAAGCCTGATGCAGTCAAGTGAGCACCCTTGTGGGGAGGCAGATCCAGTGACCATCCACGGCATCTGGATTTCAGTAGAGGTGCTTTGAGGGGCAGAGGAAGGCCAAACTGAATTCCAACAGGTGACATTGGAATCAGTTTGAAGGGCAAGCACCCAGTCTGCCAAGTGGGAAAGCAGTAGCAGGACTACATTCCAACAGACAGAACAGCATGTGCAGGGGGAGAAACAGGAACAGCTGACATGTTAAGAAAATGAGTGTTTAGCAAAGTTCAGTAGAAGCTGAAGGGGAGGAATGGAGTTCCTGCCCCTTGGTAGGCACATGCCCTGGGATCTGCCACCTGCCCCAGACTCCCCCCTCCCTTCCTCACTTGCCACGCCCCGTTTGAGCGCTGCTGACTTATAAGTATGAGGAATAAAGCTTGGATAAAGTCTACCACTTCAATTCACCTTGTTAGGACTTGAGGCAGGCCCTACCTCGGAGCCTTGGTTTTCTAGGGTCTGGGAAATCTCAATCAACAAGTGTTTGCTGAATGAGGTCAGAACAGGAAGTCAGCCTCAACTGGGCCACCATTGTCCACATGTAAACATGTGTTTACGTTCACCAGGCTGTGATGGTGGTGTCCTGGGGTCACGTATGTTTTTTCAGAATGAAACCCTAATGAATGGTGGAACATCAGCGCTCTAAAAGGTGAGAATGGCTGATGTCCTACCCCAGCCTTCTGGGGCATGCCCATGGAGATGCAGGAGGCGGTTGAGTCAGGTGACAGAATTCAAATTCCTCAGGAACTCCATGGCTCTCAGTTCACCTGAGCTCAGGTACCAGCACACAAGAGGGTCTTCCATGTCCCCCTCCTCCCTATGCTAGGAAACAGCTGAGGGAAGTGTTAGCTTCAGGGACCTTCATTCCCATTAGCTGGGATGATGCTCAAAGGCCACAGCGTATATAGCCTTTGACCACTGGCCTTTTAGTCCCACCTGTGTGCCCTTCCAGCCTGACTTGTCCTGTGGCAGCCTCTGGGTCAATATTGGCAGAGGGTGGGAGGGCACGTGGCATCACCACCAGGAGGCAAAGGCAGGGTGTTCCTTGTGGGAGGAGAGTTCCAGTTTAGATGTCACTCTGTCTTACTCTGCTGCTTCCTACATGGTCTTTGGGTATCCTGGAGCACAAACCACTCAGCTCTTTAGCCCTACGGGGCATGGAGTAGGCTCAGCCCCCTTTTCCCATTTGCTTATTATACATCTAAAAATGCACTTGTGCAAAGTTCTGGGTATTTTTCCAAAAAATCCTGAGATATTGTAGACCCATGTGCCACCTTCACTTGATAGACAAGGAAGGTGAGGTTGGAGAACAGGGACCGTGGTTTCTCAGTAAACAAGACCAGGGGTAGGACTTGAATTCTCTGGACTCCTACCCTGCTGCTGTACTCCAGTTCCTTCAGGCCTCCCAAATCTTAACAGTGATGGTCTAATCCCAGAACGCTGACCTTCAAGTGACCTTAGGTCCTGATTCCTGTTGAATAAGTTTCCTTAAAGCCTTCTAGTGATGTTAAGACTTGCATGACTGACTCCTGGGCACTCTGTGGTGGCACCGGAGGCAGGCAGTGCTCGTTGGTCTTTTCAGGGGGAGGAGTGGGAACTGGGCACTTATCAGTAGTACCAGTAAGGTGCCAGGCACCCTGCCAGGGGCCTCTCAACATCCTAGCTTGACCACCAGGAACCCACTTTCTCCACTCTAGAAGAGACTGCTCCTATCTTACCAGAGAATGGAAGGCTCAGAGGCCAAAACTCCTACTGGGGTTCAGGGACTTCTCTGAAGCTTCAACTGGGGTAGGGGGTAGGGGGAGCCTCTGGTACAGACTCTGTCCTTCCTGGTCAGGTTCTCTCTACTTCCCAGTACTGGTTCCTGACGGAAGCAAGGTTTCTACCTGGTGCTTTCTATGTAGGTCAGATTCCATTCCAGCAGCTCTCTAGGCCTTCTCAATTCTGAAGCCAGCAGCCAAGGTCTGGGAGCCTTTTGGCCATCTTTACTGGAGTTAACTCTAAGCCAAGGTTGGCTGACAATCACTGCTGGGCTAAGGGACCACATCCCACCAACCAGCTAAGAATGGGCTTTCCATTTCTAAGGGGTGGGGTTGAGTTACATTAAATTAGAATTTCCATGACCTATAACAAAAATCACACTCAGCTGTGTATC